TATTGTATTGACGGGATACAGTCAACGCATGTACATGCACATGAAAGTCGCCTTGGTTCTTCACATTTTAAAATTGGCTCCTAATTTTTCGGGTCACCTGTGATTTGATTGGACGCTTGATCTTTTTTCAATGACTGACATTTAATGACGTACGAGGTGCAATGCGAATCTCAGAAAGGTAGTTGTAGTAATAAAAGTTTTTATATATAGATTAATTTACCCTATATTCCTACCGTTATACTTATAACAAGAACCCGTCTTCTCGCTGGAACATTTCATTCGTATTGATCTTCTCCTAGGACAGAAAGCCCAATATATCCTTAAATCTTGCAAGCAATGTCTCTCATTCGTTGTGCATGGCAAAGTTCTTTGGATCCCAATCCAGCTTCTTCAATAAGAACAAACCACTCTATGGTTCGCACCCTTGATACACCACTGAAGCCCAGTTTTGACAGTATCGCCATGAATGTACCAATAACCACACTGCAGTATATCCCTGTTATTTGTGTCCAGTTGTCGCGGAATTGCTGATAATCGGGAATGCTTACCCTTCATCTTGTGTGTACAACTTCTCCGTCATAAAACCATCTTGTACTGAAAGTGTAGTCTTGCTCCGTTACATAAAAAGTACGTGGCATAATAGTCTCCTTTCATGTTCCACAAGATAGATTTGACTTGACCTGAGAAAAAAGCCCGAATCTTGCAGCCGTTTTCGAGTTGAATAACATGGGGGTGCAACCATCCTCAAATTCACCTTTCTCACAAAAGCCGAGATCCATTGGCTTCTCCATTCGGAACATTCGGTTCTCTGTAAACATTACAGGACACCCCTTATATAACTTCAAAGCAGATAACACGTTTTCGTGAGTCGAACCGGGTTTAACGAGTCTTCTCACATGTTGAAAAGAAGGCTTTAAAACCGAATGCTCTTAACAGGAACCTAGTCGAATACGTAGACTTCTACAGGGCCTTCTAAGTAATGCGCGCCGGGTATAATTCAAACCTCTGCCCCCATCGGTACCATTACCCCTAAAGCAAATCGTCTCCAGGAGACGAAATTTAGTTAAGAACGTCTGAATGAGAAGGGGATGACGTCATCGTCGAAATTCCAATTTCAACCCACACGACAGCGACAACACGCGCATTGAATAGGGGGTTTTAGAACGAATGAGGGTGGTAGGCTGGTACCTTCTACAGCGTACTAGTGCTAGTGCTTACTCCCGGTGCAACGAATGGCTCTGTCGGAAAAAGGTGTCTACTTCTCTGCGGTTGGCTCGATTGCATGTTTTAAAAGAAGGAAAGATGATGGAAGCAAGCCCAGATACTCTTAATTCTGCGTCATCTAGTAGTAGCGGGGATGGAGGGAACACTTCACCAATCAACTCGAGCGGCATTGGCAGTCATGACGCTGAGACTTCCGCGACAATGGAAAGCCCACACCGACAGTCGTCCATGGATGTGGAACAGAGTCTACCAACAGTAGCCGAAGTGACTGGGAGAAGGACCATGGAACACATTTTGCGTCGACGACGGCGACGACGACAATCCTGCATACTTTCCGCTCTGGTGGTACTTGTATTAGCGTTGTTGGCGCTCTCCATTGGTTTGGCCGTGGAACTCTCTGCTTCCAACAACAAGCAGTCGTCTTCCTCACAGGACAACCAACAAACCGCACAAACCATTATGGATTCCCAGAAACGCTACCATGACATGGTACGATTCTTGAGCGAAACTAGTATTTCCAGCTTAACTTCCTTGGAAGATGACAGCAGTCCCCAGCATCTGGCCCTTACCTTCCTGGCCTTGTTGGATCCGTTGGGACTTCCCATTCCTCACTCTCATATTATTCAAGAGGGATATCAGTTTATCACTCGCTATGTCCTCACTGTCTTGTACTTTGGCATGCAAGGAGATTCTTGGACTCAAAAACGACACTTTTTGTCCAACCTGCCCACGTGTGAATGGTGGGAATTGAATCTAGACGAGTCCACACGACGACAGTACAAGTACGTGGGGGTGATTTGTAATAACAACGATATCATCACCAATCTCATTTTACGTAAGTTGACCCAAAAGAGAAGATGAGAGAAGTGGCTGTTTTAGAACACATATAACATCTCACCATGTTTCTTCTGTGACTGGCTAGCCAACAACAATCTGCATGGAGAGCTACCCACCGAGATGGCATTACTGACAACACTCAAGACACTCGTTCTAAATGTCAATCAAATCCATGGGAGTATACCGACAACATTCAAAAACCTCTATTGGTTAGAGCATCTCTGGTTGTCCCACAATGCCATTACTGGAACCGTACCCAACTGGATTGACAGCTACGTTGGAATCGAATCGTTGGATCTTTCCTACAATCGACTCGAAGGAGAGCTTCCAGCACAACTGGCTAATTTGGAACACATCCAAATGATTGCGTTGGATAACAACCTGCTTTCCGGGCCCATTCACGACGTATTCAACCTCCACAACAACAGCCGGGGCTTGCAACACTTGCAGTTTCTATACCTCGAGAGCAATCGGTTCAGCGGATCTCTCGGAAATTCCTTCATGGTCGGAGCGACTGAATCACCGCTGGTGGCTTTGGATGTTTCCGACAATTCACTGACGGGAAGACTTCCCGTGCATCTCTTTGCTCAGTTTCCCAATCTACAAGTCGTCGATGCCAATTCCAATCAGTTGATTGGTCAACTCCCCAAAATCTTGAATACCAACAATGTCCTCACGTTTCTGGCGGTGCACAACAACTCACTCACGGGAGAAGTATCGGGATTGTTGCCCAATCTCCACGCATTGACTCATTTGGATGTCTCCAGCAATACCTTTACCAAATGGCATATGGACATCGGTGCCATGACGAATTTGACCTATCTCTTTCTAGCCAACAATCCGTTCCCACGAGGACCCTTTCCGTCCTTTCTGAGCAGCCTCACCAATCTCGAAGAGCTGTCACTCCAGGCCACCCGACGGACCGGAAGTATTCCCTGCTTTTTGGGGTCCATGACCCGTCTGGTATTGCTGGATCTGGAGAATAATCAGTTCACGGGAGCCATCCCGAGTGACCTGGGGAATCTCAGCTTTCTGCAGTATTTTCGCTTGAACCGGAATCAACTTTCCAACAGTGTGCCGGCCGAACTGAGTAATCTACTTTCCTTGCGTACGTACCGTATCCAAGACTTTGACGGGGTGATTTGTCTTGGGATTGGTTGGTTCGATCGCTTCCTAACTCTTAGTTACTTTGTCGTGGTTGCAGGGCTGCTATTTTTGGATAGCAATAACCTCGAGGGAAATTTGAGTAGCGTGGTGTGTAACCTTCGTTGGGACCCCATGGTGGTAGCCGATTGCGCGGCTGACGACAGTACGGGTAGTACAAATCTCTTCTGTTCCTGCTGTGACCTGTGCTGCAGCACCAGTGCACCGTGTAATGATGATAACGTTGTGCCATCCAAAGATCCAGCATGGCAGTTCGGATATCAACGATATGAATACCACTTTGGACCAACCAGACATTCCATTTCGGACGCACCGTAAACCCTTGAACGGGGGCTGATAAATTGAGGGCGAAGGTGGTTTCAACATTGGTACCTTGTTGGGGAGCAAGGAATCGCATGCTTGCTGTGGTTTGGGGTTGGGGTTGAACGTGCGGTGGCCTGCCTTCTCTGTATACTAGTACCATTGATCAGGGGCGAGGACGAGCCCTCCCGAGTGGTCGATTTTGAAACCATGGAACTTCTCAAGGGTCGCTACCAGGGGTGTGCCGGTACCGGTAGTAGCTGCCGGTAAAAAATGAGAGTCGATAGCAGCCGGTGCGCAACTGGATCACGACAACAGATAATGTGGCAAAAATCTGGAGACCTAATGTAATGTTATCGTAGTAGAGTTCGACCGGTGCTCCAAGATTCCCGTTTCTCGAAGACGGCATACTACAATATTCCTTGTTCAAGAACCAATGCAGCTCTTCCGCCAAGCTTTCAATGTAGTTGTTGAATCCGAAGAAGCCGAAACTTGCCTTCAGGATAGGTAGATACACCTGGCACAAACCCATCATCGCTTCCCTGCAACTCATCTCGAAGATTCTCAAAGACTAAAAATCGTTCCCCATCATCCACTGATGCATGAAGTGTACCATTCCCTTCCTGGTTTGCTAGCAAGTTCAATGTCAGTGTGACTCTCGAACCTTGCGAGAACCGTGGGTGGCCACGGGAAACTGCAGTGTCATGGTGCCTTGCTTTCCCATCCCTACATAAATCCCATCCAGCGTTTTGCTTGCCAAGAGATCTGGATCTGTCAATGCCTCGAAGAGCAATTCCGACCAAGTCCCCTTGGCTTTGCTGAACATACTCAAGTGTCCACTCATGTTTACCACCGGAGATTGGAGGGTATCGAAGGCAATCAGATGTACAGCCAGTTGTCTCACGCGGTGTGCCGGACACTTCGTTCGAGGAATTTTCCCATACAACCATACCGGTACCACGGGCTTTTTTGAAAACGACATGATGTTGCTGCTTTGAGACTAGAGCTTGCTTTTCGAAGGCCTCACAGAGAAGGCCTTGTGACACAAGACCAGATGACTTGACAGAGGTTGATAAAAGCTCAGGGTCAATGCATTCCAACCGGATATGCTTTTCTACCAGCTGAGAGGCAAGGGCCTCTGGTGACTCTTTGTCACCTCTGCTAGTATCATCATCTCTTTTGTTTCCTTGCACCCAATGCATCAAAACCTCAAAGAGACTGAATTCGTCGATATGGACAGTATCGCATTTGAGAACTTCCTCCAGAGACTCAGCACTCAATGATGGCAGAGCATCATTGTCCAATTTTTCAATATTCCCGAGAAGACGACCTACAGCCAAGTCCTTTAGCTGGGTTGGAACTGCTGGTCCTGCTTGTTGGCATGCTTCCAAAATGGTAATTGATGAAGAAGGGTGCTTGCGTAAAGCCTGGGATATGTGATAGAGACACTTCTTGCACAAACCAGGAAGTTCAAAGAACATGGCAGCCTCCATCAGTGAAATGAGTATATCAGCTTCAGCGCCATCAATTTTGCCATCCATTCCTTCAAGTATCCCAGGAGAATCCATTACGATGTACTCAACAAGGGCCTTCAGCACACACCCCTTGTAGTTCAAGGGGATCACATCTTGCTTTGACTCCAAAAAATCACCTAGAAGCATACTGCGGAAGACGTTGCTTCGCGCTGCAAGCCAAAAGCGATTGGCAATGACAGTGACGCCATCGCTGCCTTTCAACGTGAGATCACAAAGAGCTTCATTTGTGAGAAAGCTGGCAATACAAGAGTCACGGGAAATCTCCTCACAATGAGGAAGATCAAATCTATCGCAGTGGATGTCGGTCATGGTGGAAACAAAGCGAGAGTTGCTCAGGAAAGTGGCTGAGTGGCCGCGCTACATGTACTACACAGGTGGACTGTCACTCTTTTGTGAGACAAGATCTCGAGACGAAGCACAAAGCCCCCTTTTCAGCTTTGGCGTCCACGGCCACTTGAGCCAGTCCGGTCACGAATCGTGCGAAAGCAACAGATTCAACCCGTCAGCGCTCCTCCACACAAGATCTTCCAGAACCGCCGCCATGGCCATCCAAAAAGCAATCGCCGTTCTGTCCACCCCCTTGACGCATCCATCACGCTCGAACAAGGATCTAGCTACTTGTGCAGTTCGGTACATGTCAGTTGTCTTTATTAGGTGACGGAGCAGTGGAGCCAAAAGGGAAGAAAAGAAAGTCGCCTCAGATACAGAAACTCAAAATACATCATGTGGCGAACGTTTTCCCCCATGCTACGGGCCAAACCGGGTGGCTTTCGAATGTGGATGCCCAACATGCCCATTACACTGATATCAGCCTCTGATGCTACCGCTACCATGCCCGCCAAGGCCGTCTTTCGGGTCCTGCCCAAGATGACCAAGCACGAGATCAAGGAATATTTGACCAAAATCTATGGCCTGCCCGTGAAAAAGGTCAACACTATGAATTACTTGGGAAAGCGAAAGAGACTTCAGACGGAGCGAAAAATGGTCTATTGGAGGTATGCCGACTACAAGAAAGCAATCGTCTCATTCGACAGTTCCATGCAGAGTGTGGGGACAGCCACCAATCTGCCCAACTTAGATGACGACGAGAGTTAGAAACCAATAGATAGTAATACCTTCACTGCCTACTCTAGCTAGCTAGCTTAGGGCAACGGTAACACATGTACATGTAGCGTTAGATCCTAAGTTCTATTTGGAAGAATATAGTCATTTGAATGGGTGGACAGCACCCGAGAATTGCAAGCAAAAAATGTAACGATTCGATTCTAAACCCCCATGTTCTTTAATGTGCTCCGTCGACCTATTCCTTGTCTTGCATCAGATGTTGTATTGCGGTATTCTCATCAGTTGTCAGGTAGACACCAAATGCTTTGTTGGGGATCATACTTGGCAAGAACTGTCCAGGGAAAACGGGGGCAGGAAAGTTCATTCCGTTGCTGGCACTACTAGTGGTTTCGGACGCCCACACGCTAGCGGACGAAGACAAGAGCTTGTTGATGCGTTTCATGTAGTCGTCATCCGTGACAGTCACGACACGAGCATTCCCATCCGTGGTGTAGGTTCGTTGGGCATATGCAATGGCTCGACTCAATCCGCCAAGTTCATCCACGAGACCATTTTGGTTGGCTTGTTCTCCTGTCCACACGCGGCCTTGTGCCAGCTTTGTTTCCAGGTAATCCTCGTCCAACGAACGACCGGCACTGACAATGTCCTTGAAGCGTTGATAGCAACGGTCGGTATATCGCTCGGCATTCAGATGCATTTGCTTGGTGACGGGATAAAAGGCATTGTTGGTGAGGGCAAGTTCACTGGTGTAAACATGGCCGAATTTGGCACCGTATTGCGCCGCCAACCCGGACAAGTCCAATCGGATGGCGAACACTCCAATGGAACCTGTCAATGTATTCTTGGATGCAAAGATGCGATCACCAGCAGTGGCAATGTAGTAGCCTCCGCTGGCCGCCACGTTGCCAAAGGAAAAGATGACATTCTAACAGTGGTGTCGCGGATTGTAGTAGGTCACAATAAGATGAGTTTGCGCAGTGAAACTAGATCTACCTCGATCAGATCAGATTGTTGGCGTTACGTACCTGCGGTAGATCTTTGAAATCTTGATACAGAGCCTCTGAAGCATCAATGGTTCCACCCGGAGAGTCCACTTGGACGACGACAGCCTTGATATCCTTGTCGTACTTGATTTTCCGTAACATGGGAGCCAGCTTGCGATACTTTTTGGAATCAATGGCTCCATTGACGGACACCAAAGCAATCTTTTCCGATGACGCAGTCTTGTCCTTGTCGTCGCTGCTGGACGGCGAGTCCTCCTGGAGGGGAGAATGGCAACAAGCGTCAGTTTCTCCGTCGTGGCGGACATCAGCAGCACTCTACACCCCATACCTTTTGTGTCGTCTCATCCTTGGTGTACCCCATGGCCGTGAGAGCCTTTCCAAGCGTCGGATACCGATCCGCTGCTTTCCAGAGACGTTCCTTTTGCTGCTCTAATTTCTTTCGTTTGGCCAGAAGCTTTTGGTATTCGGAAAAGGTCACTGTTTCGTTGGCTGAAAAGCTCTCCAGATCGGTCTGCCTTCCCCAAGTTTCTTTCAAACGTAGCTGTTCTTTGGTGGGTTGTTTGTCGTTCTTGTCTGTGGATTGGATGTCGTCATCCTTTTGGGATTCTTTCTTGGCTTCCGTTGGTTTCTTTTTGTCTGTCTTGTCTTTTTTGCCATCTTTCTCTTCTTTCTTGTTGTATTCCAAGAGAGCATCCAAAGGACTGCGATCGGTAATGTAATCGACAAATCCCATTTGCAGTGCATTTTGGGCCGTAAAGGAACCACCGTTTTGTACCAATTTCCACATCATTGTCAAGTCATTCTGAAGGTCTGCCCCCTTCATGGTCATGGCTTGTAGTGTTTTGCGTCTGGCAGCGGCAATGTCATGACATCGACCTTGGTTCATGGCAAAGAGATAGGTTTCAATGTTCTGTCGATGGGCTCTGGTCAAGCCCGACTCGGTCAAGGAATTGGGAGCATTCTTATAGGGACCATGCTTATAGACGTGTGCAGCGACTCCGTATTTTTTGAGCGTGTCCTTGATTCATTCGATTATTCAGGAGAAAAACAGATATAAGATTTGCTGCTGACTGTGTAATTTTTGATGGTTTGTGTGCTATCCAACCATCTATCTTACCTTGAGAAAGGGAACCGACGAGCTGAATCCGGCAAAATTCAGACTTCCTTGCTGCTGAAGATGGACATGAGTGAAAATCGATGCCAAGTAGTAATCAGGATTGGAGGGATTGATCATGCTTTCAAAAGTGTCCTGATCAACCAACAAAAACGGTTAGTGAGAAAATCTGACCATCAAAATCATATCTTTTCTCATCATCTTCCCTCTTCTGTCTTGTGCCTTATTGATTCTTTTTTACTCACCGCATAGGCATAGAGAGGTCTCTTTGGAGTGAGGCTTTTCGTGAGTACCGTCTCGTGGTTGCAATTGGGATCTGCATGCACTCGATGAGACTCTCGAAAGATTCGTAATGCATTCCTCACTTGTTCGGCATCGGCCGCCCCTCCCGTAAAGGATCCACCGTGACCGAATTCTCCATAAATGGCCACCACACTGGGGTCGTTGGTCGCCTCGTGAATCACTTGTACCAGTTCTTGGACATCCACTTCTTCGTCGTCGCTGCTCGATCGTCGTGTCGACTGAAGCAACGCCGCCAGCTTGTCGCGATCTTCCTTTTTGACAATCTTGAAGCGATGAAAGGGCAGCACCAAGACGCGCTGTTTGCTCGACAAAGATCCTTCTTCTTTGGCAAACTTTTTCGTGTCATTATAATAGTAGCCGAGACTTGCGACCGTACCAAACCCAACGACAGCCAACGATGTCTTGGCAGCCTTGCCAATCCGCTTGACGACGGCGCCGCTGGCCTTGAGCAGTTGGCTCATGGTGGAGTGACAGTCGAGTCTTACAGAAATCTTTGAGAAAACAAAATGAGAAGAGAACTACTACTAGCTAGCTAGCTAGAGCAAGAGAAGAAGAAAACGGCGCGGTGTCAATCAAGAGAAGTCGACACCTCTTGGAAGCACGCTGTCAGGTAATGTTTATCCTTAGCCTTGGTGTATTGGTAGCCAAAAATTATCCACGTCTCGCAACCAAACCTCACCTTTCACATCCTTTCACCATACGGTACTACACGTATAACGACTATATACGATATACGGTATATGAGTTCATCGTAGACTGTTTGCTTTTAGTCAGATTCGGCACTCAGGTTTTAAGGTACCCCTTTTGCCTATCCAGTCGTCTCAAATTAGAAAGTAGACTCAAGGATTTAAAGCAAGACCAATAGATTTAACTTTCCTCTTCGAATCCAACCAATCTAGAACAACAACAACACCAACAAACTATCGAAACCAAACTATCGAACAAAGATGGCGCTTTGCTTGCTTTTACCGCGGCTTTCAGGTGAAGGCGCCATGTCGGGCTTGGCGCATCCTTTCAAATGCCTTGGGGATGCCTGTTGATGTAGGGGAAAGCTAGAGTTGCAAGCTAACACGACAATCAGCACGCCCCAAATCGATTCTGTCAATTGAAGTCGATTGTTGATGGTGTGACCTTCCTTCCTGATCTACTCCTCTCCACCGCTTTCAAGCATGGCGGACGAAGCCCGTCTCCTCAAGGAGGCCCTGAAAGTGAGATTACTGCTTCCCAACTTTGACAGATCAAAAGCTCTCTATTCTGTTGGAATGTGCGTCGAGCAAGCAACTTCACCTGAATCCACGGAAAGCCTTGGACGGCTGATGAGATCATATGCTCTGAAACATGGAGCGCCAAATGTATCTACCAATGAAGATGCAATGGTCGGTCGGGCAGTGCAGCTTCTTTCTGTCATGAAGCGCCACCCAGATAATATCATCAGAAATCCGGTTGCTCCGTTGGTTGGCATCAGTTTGGTGGACGCAATGCTTCTTGTTGGATTTTCGCCGAAGCAGAAGACCCAACAAGGAACTGCCAAATGGAAAGCTCAATACCAAAAATGCTTGCGCCGAAAACAGAAGTTAGAGAAGGAGGCACAGATAAAGGCAAAGCAAAACCGACCACCACCTTTGAACACAATTGGAATTGATGAATCAAGTGCAGCCCTTTCTCCATTGACCCAACGATCTCGCATATCATCGTCTTCCAATTCCACTCCAAGCGATGAGCATCACGAAGCAATGGTCACATCACCTTTACCGCCAACGCCATGTTCAGCAAGAGAGGGCTCTCCAATGGATGAATCTCCGAGTAGTAGATCATCGATCTTGGAAACACCGCGTACTCAGCCAGCCCCAAGGCGACTGTTGCCAGCGGTACAAGATGAAACACTGGATGATAGCATGTTCTTCTGGGTCTCCCCTTATCCAATTGAGGAGATGTCACTGCTTGGAGGTGTCTCTGTTAGCACGAGCAGCAGCAAATCAACTCTGGTGGCCGCACAACAAAAGCAAGTCAGGCTTTCGTCTGTTGCAAACATTAATCAACATCGGAAAACATCCAAAGCTGCACACGCAGATGCCAAAGAGATTGAACTGCTAAAATCGATTCACAGCGAGGTGTTCAAAGCAATGACTATTCTTTGGGATGGTGTATCCTCTGGCCGAAATACTCTCACGGTCTTCGATACTCCGGAAAAGATAGCATCAACGTTCACCGCGGTTTGTGGCATCGAACTCTACAGTGGCAATGAGATCCGATCTGCTGTCAAACGGGGTGATGCTGGCAAGTCTCCAGTCCGTCGAGGACGGCCAAGTACAATTCCTGATGATGTCTTCGAAGCTTTTTGCTCTGCTGTTTTCACTTATTCAGCCATTCAACAAGTAAATGCTGAAAACAGAGATACGAGACGAGACATCCAAACAATCGTTGGCTCTGTTCTCAATGCAAAAAGGCAGGAAGACGGACTTGATCCAATCGGAGAGATAAACTTCTTTCGACGCATTGAGCAGCACAATTCCACGAGACAGTCCTTTTCATCGCAAGACCCAAGGGAAGCACTTCGCGTGCAATGGTTGACCTACCAGTGTCAGAAGGCTAATTACGAACGATGGGAAGACACTGCTGTTGAGCTTGGCTTTGCGAGACGTCCTCATTCTGAAGAAAATACAGCTGGTCAACACATTATCTGGCATGAAGGACAGGCAAGAAGAGTGCTCCAGTTGGATGAGATGGGCTTTTCGATGGATGCGTCTATTAGAGGAGGTGGTTGTCCATCACACGTGCCAACAGCAAGCAGTCTCCCAGAGAGTGGCAGTTCAGCTCCGAAAGGAGGAGCGAAAGTGACTATTATCCACGGAATAAACTTTGCCGATGAAGTTTTCCCACCATACATCCAATTCCCGTCGAAAGCAAAAGATAAGAGCAATTACAAGCTGAAGATCAAAATGCTGGATGGCTTTCGCCAGACTAAAGGCCGCTTTGGCTACAGTCGTGACCACTTCTTCGACGTTGGGTTTGGAATGAATCCGAAGGGTGGCATGGACTCTGACGGCTTCCAAAAATACTTGGTGGAGCATATTTGCGAGCTCTATCCTGACTGTCAAGATGTCCCACTGCTGCGAGTCCTCATTAAAGCTGATAGTGGGCCTGGGAGGCAGCATCTTGCTATGCTCGGAGATCTCCGAGCAAGAGGCATCTATCTATTTCCAGGACTTCCAAACGGAACAGAATTTCAAGAGATGGACAATCTTTATGCTTATGCAAAGACTCTCTGCTTTCGCAACAGAGACCTCTTGATTCGAGAGAGAACTCGAATTGATGGTGCTGCATTTACATCCTTGAGCTACAATGATATTGGATTCATCATGTTTGGAGGAACAGTCCAATTGAATGAGACTGAAAGCGTCGAATTACGTCCAGCATTCGATCTTGCTTTTGATGAACCTCATATCTGTCGAGCACGAGAGAAGTGTGGATATCTTCCGAGCACAAGAGCTGCTCTCGAGCATCCGAAAGTAAGGCACGAGGTTGTGCACGATGAGGAGGGACTTATTGATCCAGAGGCTGATCCAGTTGGTGCCTATTACCAAGCTTTGGAAAAAGCAAACCATGACACTTGTGCTCTCCTTCACAGCAAAGGCTATACATTGGCAGAACAAAAATTGAAGCGGTGTGTCCGTCGTGTCACTGCATCTCAAACTGCTGGTCGACAAGAGGCTCGAACAGAGCCAAACACAAGAGAGCGACAAGATCTTATAGAGAAAGTCTCGACGGCGGGGCAGTGGTTTCATGTCACCAATGGGGGCGGTCCAATGAATTGTAATGATGCCCTGGTCGCGTGGGCTCGCAAAGGCATGAAACAAGAAGCTGCCAAGCTAAAAAAAGAGATGCTATTGAGACTGGAATATGAAGAAATCGAACAAGCTGCTCTTGTTGTGCTTGAGAAACATCCCGAACACGGTGACGGCTCACCTGCACAGCGCAATCATTGGAAAAAGATCTGGAAAAACGACATGCTCCGTGCTGTTATTCAATGGAAGCAAGGGCCGATTCCTGTGGAGCCAAACAACGAAAAAGTCAAAACCAAGCCAAAGCAACAATTAATCGCTCTCTATGAAAGCAAATATCAGGCGGTGGAAGTGGAAGAAGGAACAAGTGGATGGACACCCGACAGGCAAGAAAGACTTGATCAGTTGGAAGCAGGTGAGGTCGTGGACTTGATCAACGATACCGAGATCAAGCGGGCGTATGAGCGAGAGGAGGAGTTCTTCGAGACTAGACTTCTGTCTTTGGATCCGACGCGAAGGAAGAGCATTCTGGCACGTGTTATGGCGAAAGTTTCTTGCTTGGAACGGGACGCTGTGTTCCTTGGTCTATTGGATGATGCTGGAGGAGACAATGCTGGAGGAGACAATGATTCAATGGCAAGTACCGATACTAGTATTTAGTAGTAGGCAGTTAACAACAAGATAAGTTTCTATAATAATTTAAAGTATGATTTGATATCATTCTGCTCCATTGCTCAATTTTGTCCGAATACCGCCGTTTCAAATTCTGCGAAGAATCGCTTTCCTTGATCTTGTTTTTCGCTGCGAGGGCACACTATCTGAATGCTCCTCAGTCCACTCGGATCTGTGATGCCAACAAAATCTAGAAGCATGCCCCGGGCACTGCTGTTGACGCTTTCGAGACGACGGATGGTGATTGTTGCTTTATTCAAATGAAGTCCAATCTCGAACGAAACTGGTTGGCCAACAATGATTCGATCATCTCCAGCGGGGACTCCACCGGGCGGCAAGAGATTTCTGTCAACCTTCAATCGATGACGATATTCAGAGGCACAATCACCCAATATCTGGCGGGTGAGTGAAGGGGCGACAGCAACTTGAAAAGAAAAACTTCCCTGGACTCGCATTTCCGATCCATTGCGATAGACAACGTGCAGACTGCCTCGAGCCGTCGCCTCTGCTGCCTGGTTTGGAGCTGGGTATGGGATTGTTTGGAATATCATTGTCGAGTACAGTGAAGTTGAATCTATTTTTAAAAGCACTAGAATCGTCCAAGCTGATCTGGAATCCCATCTTCTTCTTGGGTTCGGAGGAGTGTCAACACAAGATCGTTAACACAAGCGCAACTGGTGGCGCCTGACCGGTAGGAGCAAGCTCCACCATTCCCAGAACAATCCTTTAAGAAAGAATTCGATTTGGCACCTCTACTGGCAGGGCTGGTGTTGTAAAGATAGGGGATGTTAACGGGAAAGAATATTCGGATACTCCGTTGCTCTTGTATCAATCGGAGAGGAATCGGAGAGGTTGATTGTTGGTTCGATTCGAAGCTCATTATCCGGAGATTTTGCTTTCAGGAACAGGAACAGCAAAAGCAATCAATCAAGATGGTGTTCAAGCTAGCAATCCATTCATTCTCTCGGTCTGCCATGGGTGTGCGTATTGTTGACATGACACAGGAGGCGTTGTTGGAGGAGATGGCCGCCGCCCTCGATCGTGCAGGAGAGGACGAGACGGTTGCCTTTCTCCACGGTGGTCCTCCATTTGCGAGATTTCCAATCCATGTTCAAGAGATGGTGTCTGAGCGTCCAGGTTAGTCTATGACACTGCTTTGTGTGCTGCTGGTGGCGCTTCTTGCTCACTTCTGCCTCTCTCAGGATCGACCCTTCAGGTGGAGGGTGGAACCTATCGGATCAAAAACCTCCTCACCGGAAAACAGGTTGTTGTTGTTGTTGCTGCTGGTTTGCCCGGATTGTTTGGTACTGGTGTGGACAATCCTCCTTTGGTTGATCTGCCGGTTCCCATTGTGGTTGCTCCTGCTGCAGCTGTCGCAGCTGTCGCCGCCAACCTTCGAGCCAACCATCGAGCTCAAGCCTCCGCTCCAGTCCTCGCTGCCGCTCCAGTCGCCGCTCCTGCTCCAGTCGCCTCCGCTCCTGCCGCCGCAGTTCCTCCTCACCGTCGCCGTGGAGGAATGGACTCAGATGATGACGAGTTTGAAGAGATCCGCGTCATTATCAACAACCCTCCTCGACGCAGCCGTCGTGGACGCAACAATCGAAACAATCGTCGTGAATCGGATGGATCGGACACTCCAGTTGTCGATCTCTCTGGTTGGGGTATGACACAAGAGTTCTAGTCGCCATGGTGCCGAAACCAAGAAGCAAGAACGACAGCGCTGTTGTGGCAGTCAGTGCTTGCTGTTATCCTTCCCAGCATGGCGTTGTTGTCAGCGTTGTTGCCAAGCTGTTGCCATCTGAGTGTGTCTGCTGGTCTCTGCAGCACCTGGTGTACTAAAAATCCTATAGTAAAATATTGGGCGCTTCTCAGAAGAGCCGATTCAATTTGAACTAAAGTGCTGGGCAATATACGCGTATTTTGAAGAAAATCGTATTTTGCGTTTATACGTGTAGTACCTGGTACTGTACCGGTAGCATGTGCCTGATTGGGCTGTCTTTGGCCCTGCGGTTTGGGGTCTGCAGAGGGAAATAGTCCACGGGCAGCAACACAGCAGCTATGTTCTCCAAAGCAACCTTGATCGATGTCTTCCTCCTTTTTCGACGGCAAAGATGCGGCGAAAGGTTGATTTGTGTACCATGTATTGGAGCGCGGTACAACCGTAGCTCAATTTACCTTTACTCGGAGCAAAAGAAGTATCCAGCGGTCAAGAAAATCGAGGCCAAACTGCTCTTCGCCGACGATGGCGTGGCGTGCCCTTCGATCGCAGAATATGAACCTTGCAGCGGGATTGGGGGGGGTTACCCCATTTGCTGGTGGCGTTTGAGATTGTCAATGAAATGGGTGGTACCGTATGATCCCACACTTCCCGTCACAGAGGTACTGCCTTTGGCTTGCTGGATTTGACCAATCTGGAAGCGGCACGTCAATGCAATGGTGACACTGGTAGTGATTGTATTATCTCAAGTTTGCATGGGATGATGATCGCGCCGCATCTGAGGGGAAAATGACTGGGGTGGAACTTGCCGCACACCAACAACGACAAACCGACCCAATCGCATGCTTTTGACGTGTTTACATCGACGACATGATGGAACGGCGCGTTAAGCTCACCGTGTCTCGATTTGCTCACTTCAAACTATTGAAATCAAACACGAACGGGCCACCGCAGCTGGTGAACCGGGTGCCATGGACGTTGCGTAGATATACACCTATGTATGGGATCCCTTTGCCGAGGCTAGCTAGGGGAGCAAATTATCGTCCAGAGCTATTGAAGGCACAAAAGTGCCAGTACAGTTGTCAACGCCCCGTTCAAAACCGAAACCGAATGACAAACGATGGTGTGGCGGCTTGGCCTCGACTGCGTCCTGCGCCGGTGGACAGCTGGTGGTCTGATTGGTTGCGCGTTGGGAGTGACATCGGTACTGTTGGTCATGTTGGAGTGAACCCTTGCTCATACCGGTACCGGTAGGCACTCAGATGGTGAAAATTGGAGCTGGTAAACGCTACGCTCGCATTTGAAGCTCGTGGACGCCACAGCTTCGTAGTTGGATCCGTGTCCCAGAACATGCTATTGGATTTGCAGCGACTTCTAGTACTGTGTCCTTACTAGCAGCACATTCAGACTCTATATCACAACCTCTGTCAGTCTAGCTAGGCGTGTCCTTCCTTCTGCCTCTGTTGCTCTTTGCGGTGCTTCCTCCAGCATGTGATGCACATCCTGTGTCGGCGGAAGCCAAAATTAGGCAGCCTTGCTGCATTCTTTTCTCATGCTTCTGTCATTGTTTTCTGTTTCGTGTTTCGAAGGCTCAGAAAATGTTTTGTGTAACACCGAATAGAATAGCAGCGGTGGTGATCTCTTGTTCTCTGATGGAAGGACGTCTTCGTGGCTGTGCATCCTCCTAATCAGCCATGGGATTCTCCACCGAAACCTTTGTTCTGGAAGTGGACGCCAACCTCACGTGCCCCATCTGTTACGACGTATTTTCTCATCCGCGAAGCATCACACCTTTTGCACATCCTGTCTTCCGGAAAGCATTGAAAAGTTCCCGTCTTGCCGTGTGGAGATTCAAGGCAAGCCTCCCTCTTTTGCGTTGAAAGGTCTCATTGACAATTTACTTGTTCACTGTCGAAACAACAACCACCATCGAAATGATCGGACGGATGAGGAGCCCCCTCCTTCCAATCGCCGTCGCTTAGACCACTGTAATTTTATCATCTCAATGTGTATAACTCTGGAACAATTTCCAATCCAATCCTAGCTGCTGGTCATGGCTACTCGACAATGTTTTACATTGCGGACATGCTGTTTGGTGTCCAGCATCAGCTGTCACATCCAAATCCCTTCAGCCCCTCCAAAAAATTCGATTTCGACGCCTACGAGACAGATCGAAAAACTTACGACAAGCTTATCCAAGACACGGTCGCCAAGTACAAGCCAGAAAGATTTTGTACTCTTGCAATGCAAGCATTCGACCTTTCGCCAACAGAAGGGATGTGCCTTGACGACAAGAGCAAAGACGCCTTTTCTCCGAGACCCGCCTAATAGTGGACCCGAGCAGAGAGCAGCGTCCCATCGAACCGCCAGTCCCTCCCAAAGACGATTGGTGCAAGTTGGGACTTTGTTGCAGCTGCTCAAACTGTCTGTGGGCGCTTAACTACAATGGCGGCGACCTGATGTGTCTACGAGGACATCCAGGATAGGCGATCTGGTTATTTGAACTACAAAGTTTTCCCTTTCCCCAACTACAACCATGCATGCGTACCGTATCGGAAAAATGATATCATGCCAGTCAAGCCAAGATGGCTCAAGAGTTCGCTACGGCACTTGATCACGACGGTTCTCAAACAACAGCATATCTTTTGTTTATGACGTTTAGAACCTGCGGGAGCTTGTGTCGCCGTTTCTCAAAACAAAATATATTAGTGTATCTTTTTGTACTACGAGTAGAACTTGTAGTAGATTCCCCAAATGTATCCTTGGCAAGCATCACTTTGTTTCCCATTGGATTTCTTTATGCATCAGTCCCCTTCGCAATTGCAAGGCAATCCTTCTCGGCTCTGGTTGTGCGCTGTATCAGGCCGGGAGGTATCAGCCATTCGCTGCGATTACGTTCAGAATCCAAAGATCCCCTTCGTTTTCTGTTGTCTGCAACGAGCCTTCAACGTGAACCTTGTTGAGGAGCCAAGGGGGAATCTGGATCGTGGAGACTTTTCCACGTTCCCCCCAAGAAAGAAACTAAGCCAGTTTGTGCCCGAAATGACCCCAACGGCCAATCTGGAGACAACCACATCCTGCGAAACATCGAACAACAACAAAGAAATTGAAGATGATGATGCTTATGGAATCTTTGAACGGAGGCCGCGGTGGCTATGGGGGTGGTAGACCAAGCTACATGCGTAACTTGACCGTCGCTGTCATCGTGATCATGTGTTGGCGCCTTTTCCTCGCTTCAAAAGCACTGGGACCTTTCCGCATGGCCAGCATGGTGGATTCTGACGCGACGACCAACTCTTACGGCAACATCCAAAACTCCAATGCTGCCGCTTTACTTGGTACAGCCGGCCTCGGTGGATCAGTCAGTGGTGCCACAGCAAATCGATTCCGAGGAGATCCTGTACGAATCTATGTTGAGACCCGACGGTTTGGCAAAAAGGGCAGTTCACAAAGCGACGGTTCGCTACCGGTAAATGCACCTCCATCTCTGAAAGAGGAGCCATTATATCAAAAATGCCACAAGTGGGCTGTTGTTACCACAATCTACAATCCTTCTGATTCGGTCAAGCTGGTGGGAAATGACCTTAATGATTGGTGCATGGTTGTGGTAGCGGATACCAAGACACCTGATGATTACATGCAAGAAGCTGGATGGAGCACCGGCGAGGGCGGTGAAGACACCACAAGAAAAGTCCAGTTCTTGTCTGTTTCGGCTCAGAATGAGATCAGCAAGATGATCCCCTTTGTGAAACTGATGCCATTTCAGAGTTTTGCCCGCAAAAATATTGGATATCTTTATGCAATTTGGATGGGGGCCACTGCCATTTTTGACTTTGATGATGACAATCTCGTCAGAGGTGAAAATAACAAAACAACCAAGGGGGGGGGCATATTGGGTACAGAATTATTGGCAGACTTTACCAATGAGACAAAGAGTTTAGTCATGGTCCGGCATGTCAGCATTGCCATGGATTTCAATGATCGAGCATTCAATCCCTTGCACATGATGGGAGCCACCATTGCAGATGCCTGGCCTCGGGGAATGCCTCTGTCTCTGATCAACAGTAAGTCAGCCAGGGGACAACGTGGTCCATTAGTGCTCAAGGAAGTTCAGCAATCCAATGTTGCTATCATACAGTCAGTCTGCGACCATGACCCAGATGTGGATGCTATATTCAGACTCAATCATCAACAACCTTTCAGCTTTGAAAGTTCCAAAGCCAAAGCTATGACATTGGAGGTGCCATCCCAACTCTACAGTCCATACAATGCTCAAGCAACTCTTCACTTCCACATTGCCTTTTGGGGGTTGTACCTGCCTATGACAGTCAATGGACGGGTCAGTGATATCTGGAGGTCCTACATTGTGCAGAGACTCTTGAGGGAGCTGGACACACAAGCACATGTCTTGTACAGTCCACCAATTGTGGAAAGTCCATCTCGTAATGCTCATGATAATTTGGGCGATTTGGCTGCTGAGCAGCATTTGTATCTTCGAACAGAAGCATTGCTCGAGGTTCTTGATAACTGGCAACCCATCACAGACAAGGGAGGCACTGATTCTTTGCAGGCTCGCATTGAAGATCTGTGGATCCATCTCTACGAAAGACAATTTGTTGAGGTGGAGGATGTGCAAGCTGTACAGGACTGGGTCGCAGCTCTGGAACAGAGTGGTTATGTTTTCCCAGCAGTCAAAGACCACAGCCTCGTCATTGATCCAAGCACTGGTGGAGTCAAGGACCGACAAGAGTGTGCACGCCGAAGACTGGCCAACTGGGAAGAACCCCGCCCAACCTTTATGAATGGATCCAATTTTGGTGCCTTGACATTTGAACACAGCAGCAACATATCTGTGGCAAGGTTGCTCACAGAGTATGAAGTGGACAACCCCTTTCCCCACAGCGTAGACCTGGTTGTCCGTGCAGCGGCCACAAAGGGCCCATGGGAACTTGCAACAATGATTGAGAGTGTACAGCTCTACTGGCCCAAATGTGCAGGGCGTGTCCTTGTTGTTCTTGACATTGGAGATGAAGAGTTTGCTCATGAGAACATCCCATCTTGGATTGATGTCATGTATTCAAAGTTTGACTTTGGTATGCCAGGACGACTAGGGACTCAACTCTTCAACATGTACTCTGATCAGCAAGGCCGTTCTGAGTATGTGGCAGTTATCGACACAGACACAACATTGATAACACCTGTGACACCAGATCTTGTTTTCAACATGGAGAAGATTGATGAAGCTGGCAATGCCCCACCATACATCTTAGCAGAGACCACATATCAGAAGGGAATGTGGAGTAAAGGTGACCAGTGGATGTTTAAGGGAGACTCCAATGACTGGACTTTTATGGTGACATTGCCTACATTGTGGCCTCGAGCAATGTTCCCCCAATATAGGGCAGGGGTTGAAGCAATCCACAACAATGAGTTTGAAACCACTGATCTTTGGCAACACTTTCGGGCTACTAGGAAGGCTGGGTGGATGTCCATGTCCCAGTTTTGTCTGCTAGGGAATTGGATGGTGAAGCATTGGACTGATGCACCTTTTGACCTGAGGAATGAGACCGACATCCCACCCATGCGTTATGGATGTCATCTACCATACTACCGCGGTCTAAGCTTTGGTCCAGGTGGGAAAAAGGATCCTGACAGTTTCCAGCGAACAGGTCGAAATCTTATGCTTGATGGCCTCTGCGAGCTCTTCTGTCATGAAACACCTCATCAGGCTGGGTCGCCACCAGCTGTAGGACTACCCAAATGGAAAAGCTGTGCTGAAAAATGCCCAAACCCAACAAAAAAGTACAAGGATGTTTATTTCAAGTATGATCGAAAAGTTTATGGAACACCAGAACAGCGGTTGCAAGTTGAGGCAAACCATTTTGAACCCTTCAAACGGGCTTTGGATTCTGTCTTTAGAAGAGCCAAGCAAATCAGTACAGTCAAACTTTAGTTGGAAGTGCTTGAACTAGCCATCCTGCTATGGCAACTTGCTGGTTGACATTCGCGATCGAGGAATCGGTTTCGTTTGTCGATTGTCGTAGGAGACTACATGTACAGAAAGCATTGCATTCTAGAATCCGCGGTCAAGTTTGAGTTTACAAGGGGCAAGGTCGGAAGGTTCAGCCTGTCGGACACAAAGACTGTAGGGAATGCTCTGCGATGCACTGAAAGAGACTCGATCTTTACGTTTTAGTCTGCTCGTTTGTTGCCTCCTAGTTTCTTCAGGATTTACTACTACCGTACCGCAAGATACGTCGCGACTCAGTTTCCGCGGTGTACTGCCTTGTTCTGGGATCATTGTCATTGGTTTCTCTTGCTGGAGGATGATGACTTCTGCAACCTTCCGAAGACGAGATACGGTTTCTGGTCAAGGACGACCGCGGCGGTCTCAGCGCGGAGCGAATTGTGCGCTGTGGCGAAGGAGCAGGGGTCCGTCGAGGATTCAAAAGCGAGGGCAGAAATTATCTGCATGTGGGCAAATGCAAGGCTAGCTCCATCAGCTGCTCTATGTAGCTACACAAAGTAACCCTTTACTAGATTCGTACAATGTTCGCTCGTTGTTTTCACGGTGCGGTTCGAGGACAGCAGAAGCCATTCGCTCTCCAGCATTTTCCTGATATTTTTTAGGTTGACCCCCCTGGGAAGAGCCAAATATCGCAATGTGCTGCAAGGTACCGTGCTGGATAGTCTTGTATCACAGGTCAGCAGCCAGCTGGAGGAAGGTGGCACGCAGCCATGAACAACGCCGCGTCGCCGTCCTGTATTCACGCATGAGGTATCCGAATCATATCTCTCTTCTCTTACGGATTCTCGTTGGCCTCTCCGCCATCCAGCGAGCATCCAGCCCTATGACGCAATAATACAAGGACAGAATACTCGATACAGCAAACAATCCAAAAGTAGATCAGTGGTACTAATTGCCTGATTCTCTTCTACCCATTTGTGATCGTAGAGAGACCAGTCAACCTCTGCTCGACCAACTTGGTTCGACGAGCAGCCAAATGAGACCCTATGAAAAATTGATTACTTTTATCAAACTGCTGCTATCATCGCCAGTGCTGATTGCTATCAGTAGGTGCTTGTTGTTGCACCATTGGATTTGAAGACAGAACCTAGAGCCATTTTGAAAGGTTGAAAATGGTTGGCCTCAACCTGAAGCCTTTGTTCTGGTGTTCCATACACAATCAGCTCATATTTGAAATACATGTCCTTTGGCTGGGGTGGTGCGAAGGGGCAAAGCGAGGCACAATTTCGCATCTTTGGTAAATTGCCATCTTCCAGTCCTACAGGTGGTGGTGACCCAGCTTTGCGAGGTGTTTCATGACAGAAGAGCTCACAAAGCCCATCGAAGATGTGGCGCCGACCTGTTTTTTGGAATGACGGAGGGTCCCCTTTTCCCCCAGGACGAAAATCAAGACCACGGTGGTATGGCATATGACACCCATAGCGCATTGGTGGGATGTCTGTCTCATTCCTTAAATCAAAGGGAGCATCGGTCCAATGACGCACCATCCAATTCCCTAACAGACAAAACTGGGACATGGCCATCCAACCACCTCTCATTGTTGTCCGAAAGTGTTGCCAAAGATCAGTGGTTTCAAACTCATTGTTGTGGATTGCTTCAACCCCTGCCCTATATTGGGGGAACATGGCTCGTGGATACACTTGAGGCAAAGTCACCATGAAAACCCAATCATTGGAGTCCCCCTTAAACATCCAGAAATCACCCTTGCTCCAGAATCCTTTCTGATAAGTGGTGTCTGTTAGGATGTATGGTGGGGCATTGCCAGCTTCATCAATTTTCTCCATGTTGAACACTATATCTGGTGTAACAGGTGTCACCAATATTGTATCTGTGTCAATTATTGACACATACTCAGAACGGCCTTGCTGATCAGAGTACATGTTGAAGAGTTGGTTCCCAAGTCGACCCGGCATACCATAGTCAAACTTTGAATACATGACATCAATCCAAGATGGGATGTTCTCATGAGCAAACTCTTCATCTCCAATGTCAAGAACAACAAGGACACGCCCTGCACATTTGGGCCAGTAGAGTTGTACACTCTCAATCATTGTTGCAAGTTCCCATGGCCCATGCCGGGCACCAGCTCGGCAAATGAGGTCTATGCTGTGGGGAAAGGGGTTGTCCACTTCATACTCTGTAAGCAACCTTGCCACAGATATGTTGCTGCCGTGTTCAAATGTCAAAGAGCCAAAATTGGATCCATTCATAAAGGTTGGCTGGGGCTCTTCCCAATTGGCCAGTTTTCTACGAGCACACTCTTGTCGGTCCTTGACTCCACCAGTGCTTGGATCAATGACAAGGCTGTGGTCTTTGACGGCTGGGAAAACATAGCCACCCTGCTCCAGAGCAGTGAGCCATGCTTGAACAGCATGGACATCCTCTAGCTCAATGAACTCCCTTTCAAAGAGCTGGATCCACAGATCTTCAATGCGAGCCTGCAAAGAATCAGTGTCTCCCTGTGAGCTGGGCTTCCAGTTATCAAGAACCTCAAGAAAAGCTTCTGTTCGCAGATACAGATGCTGCTCAGCAGCAAAATCACCCACATAGTCATGAGCATTGCGGAACTGTGTCACCATGGGTGGGCTGTACAAGACATGTGCTTGTGTGTCCAGCTCCCTCAAGAGTCTCTGCACAATGTAGGACCTCCAGATATCACTGACCCGTCCATTGACTGTCATGGGCAGGTACAACCCCCAAAATGCAATGGGGAAGTGAAGTGTTGCTTGAGCATTGTATGGGCTGTAGAGTTGGGATGGCACCTCCACTGTCATGGCATCCGTTTTGGAACTTTGAAAGCTGAATGGCAAGGGTCGACTCAGCCGGAAGATAGCGTCCACATCTGGGTCATTGTCACAGACAGACTGAATGATGGCAACATTGGATTGCTGCACTTCTTTGAGCATCAACGGACCACGTTGTCCCCTGGCTGACTTACTGTTAATCAGAGACAAAGGCAGTCCACGAGGCCATGCATCTGTCATGGTGGCTCCCATCATGGGGAAGGGATTGAAAGCACGGTCTTTGAAATCCATGGCGATACTGACATGCCGGACCATGACTAAACTCTTTGTCTCATTGGTAAAGTCTTTCATTAGTTGTGTTCCTGACAAAATTGCATCAGTTGCTGTCCCATTGTCCAGCTTGACCAGATTGTCATCATCAAAGTCAAAGATGGTAGTGGCCCCCATCCAAATGGCATAAAGATAGCCAATGTTCTTGCGTGCAAAGCTTTGAAAGGGCATCTGTTTCACAAATGGAATCATTCTGGCAAGCTCACTTTGAGCTGACACGGACATGAATTGAACGTTTCTTGTCATGTCAGTACTTGTTGCTCCCACGCCAGAGCTCCACCCTGCAGCTTCCATGTAGTCTTGAGGTGTCTTCGTATCAGCTACTACAACCATGCACCAATCATGGAGATCATTGCCCACCCTTTTGACAGCATCAGAAGGTTTGTATATTGTGGTAACAACAGCCCACTTGTGGCATTTTTTATACAAAGGTTGACTCTGCAGAAAAGTGGATAGATCACTGGCAGGACTGTTGCCATTATCCATCTTTTCGAGCGTGGTACGAAAAAAGGAGGTTGCACTCGTGGTGAATCCACCATCAAAGCGCCGACGTCCATTGAAGGTACGAACGGGATCCCCTCGGAAACGACTGGCCGTTGCGCCACTCATCATCATGCTGTTCAAGACGGCGCTGTACGAGGTGGTCGTCGCGACCGAACGGCTCACAAACCCATCCAACATTTGAACGGGATACCGAAAGGATTCCAATGTTTCTGTTGCCACAAATAGTCTCCAGCACATGATCATAATAATGGCCATGACAATGGACTGCGTGCGACCGGTTTTGCTGCCATCGCTGCCTTTTCGCGTGGATTCCGAGGGCCCCATGGTGGTTTCTGCGTATCGTAGCTAGCTTGCTATAATAAGTTGGCTATTCGCAGGTGCTTCAGCGTATCATGTACGAACCAAGAGATTGTCTGCTTGGGATTCTAGCTAGCCCCTCCACACAGGACGATGAAGCTTTGTTTTTCTGTTGAAGAACCATACTGCCATCCATCAAAAATTGCCACGAAACCGTCTCGCACTTCCAATTTTGTGACCAACTGGATGGGAGGTGCGCTGAACTGTTTTGGCCGTTACTTTTGAATTTCAAGTTCACCGTAGAGCTAGGGCTATGCTTAGTTGTATCTTTTGGTGACGTGGTTGTCGTAACGTCAGCCCTGTGATATCATTCGATTCTTCGATATTCTCCAAGAACAATGACCGAATGAACGAACGAACGAAAGAAAGATCCCACAAGCTGACAATCTGTCCCGAAAGCTGGAAGAGAGACATTAAAAGAGAAGAAGAAGAAAATGAGATTGGCACCATGGGCTACCCTTGGGGTAGCTGCTATCTTTGGCAGCACCCATGCCTTTTTGACGCCCGTGCAAATTCCCTCTAAAACCAAACTGTCCACACGTGGTGGGGATGACGACTTTGGCGATGTCTCGCTCTGGAGAATTGAAAAAGTGGACAAGGTATTTGGAGACAATGCCGATGACGACGACGTTGTACCGTCATATCCCAACCCCCTCTCCCAAAAAGCTCGCATTCCATCGTCCTGGTTTGTCGATGAAGATGACGCGGTTGCTGCCAAGGTCAATGTGGATGTGCATCAGACTTGCATTATTGATGAAGAGGCCGCCGCTCCGGCATTTATGCTAGCGGGTCCACGCATGGAAATTGCCTTTGATCCGGAAGTCTCACGCGCCGCCATTGTGACATGTGGTGGACTCTGTCCTGGACTGAATACGGTGGTGCGAGAAGTGGTAATGTGCTTGCGACGACAATACGGTGTCGAAAACGTCTATGGAGTCCCCGAGGGATACCGAGGCTTTCAAAGCCCCGAGGATTGGCGACCACTGGATGAAACCGTGGTGGCAAATTTTCACAACTTGGGAGGATCCGTGTTGGGATCCTCGCGTGGTGGATACGACACCAAGGCCATTGTCGACTCGTTGGCCGCACAGAATATCAATATGCTTTTTGTCATTGGAGGAGATGGTACGCTACGAGGTGCTGCCAAAATTGCCGAAGAAGTCAAAAAGCGAGGACTTCAAATTTCCGTGGCCGTCATTCCCAAGACGATCGACAATGACATTCCGCTTGTGGATCGCACCTTTGGATTCGAAACTGCCGTCGAAGCGGCACGGGATGCCATTAATGTGGCCAATGTCGAAGCGGAGGGGTTCCCTCTGGGCCTTGGTGTTGTCAAAGTCATGGGTCGAAATTCTGGATTCATTGCCATGCATGCCGCACTGGGGTCGCGAGTGGTGGATCTGTGTTTGGTGCCCGAGGTGGACTTTTACTTGGATGGCCCTGGTGGCATTGTCGATCATTTGGCGGCACGGTTGTTGGAAAATAACAAGGCCGTCGTGGTGGTGGCAGAAGGTGCCGGACAAGATTTGATTGCCGCCGAACAAGAGGAAGAAGGAGAACAAGTAACAGATCTCTCGGGTAATGTCATGCTCGAAGACATTGGCCGTTGGTTGGCGGACAAGCTCAAGACGCGTTTGGGGGACAAGCTCCAAAACCAGACCAAACATGGTGACTCTGTCAGTATCAAATACATTGATCCCAGTTATATGGTGCGGGGTGTTCCACCCAATACGGCAGATAACGTGTACTGCACCCATTTGGCACACAATGCCGTCCACGGAGCTTTTGCTGGCCTGACTTCGTTTGTGGTGGGTTCTGTCAACACCCGAGAATGCTTTGTCCCCACAAGGGTGCTGGTGAACAAGCGCAATGTGATTGACACGGAGCATCAGAGTCTTTGGGAATATGTGGTCTTTGACACTGGCCAGCCTTGTTTCCAGACTGAAAGTGATGACGTTGACCGGCGGAAGGACATCACCATTAGCGCCTCGGGTGGTGTGGTTCTAGAGCTAGAATAAGATTTGCGTATATATTTATAGTAGCCGCCTTTAGAATAGACGATCTACAAGTCAGTTCTATCTAAGTCGTCTAGAACCCTGACACCGACCCTGTGTCCAACAAAATGTTGCAAAGCTACCTCCGGTATTCCTGAAGTAATGTTTCTCCATCAACTTGAGCTTCAGATCTGCGTGACAGTGACAGTGGAGTGGAATTGGCATTGGGTCAGGTGAGGATATCACTGCTGGGCTGATATTATCCACAAGGAATGGCAGTTTGATCTCTTGCAACGTTCCTTCTGAGTATCAGCCATGGACCAGGAAGTCCCGCGATGACGTCTATTTGGGGACTCTCGCTAAAGTCAAGTCCCAAAATTAACGACTCGTGGTTCGACTCGCGCAACTCGCGGTGGAAAAAAAATCGCGAGTTAGCCACGAGTCACCATCGCGACTTGCACGAGTTGAACGAGTCACCGCAAGTCACTCGCGAGTCACTACTGGGACTCAACTCTCGCAACTCGCGATTTCGAAACTTCATTATTTGCCTTCCACGATGAGTCAATGGCGGCTATCATTGAACCGTACATCCTCAAGCCGTCTTACATCCTCAGGGCAGGTCTAAAGGCTTGTCATGTTGACGATGTTATCCAGGATCGGCGGTGTCAAGCAACGAATGTGAGGGTCTTCAAGGCGCATTTTGGAAGGCATCCTTTGCACCTCGCACAAGTGTGGAGGGATCTTCAGCTTTTCGGCATCATGACAGTTGAAGAGGCAAAAGAGAAAAAGTCTTTTCGGGGCTTTATGCTTGCAAACAACTTTCTTCGGCTGTATGAGAGTGAAGACGTTCGAAATGCTCGCTTTGGTGGAAACTATGACTACAATCGAGCCTTGGCGTGGGACTTTGTGGGACGCATTGCCAGTCTGAAGGTTCATAGGATAAGATGTCCAACCACATGGCCTGTGAGGTTGGGAGCAAGTGCTGATGGCACACAACTCAGAACCAATGAGCCAAGGGATGAAGAGATGAGACGCAATCCAAAAAACTATGCCTACAAATACAACTTTGCTGGACTGAATTACCTTATTGTGCTCTCCTTGTGGACCAATCATATTTGGTTTGCTTCAGGAGGAGATCCTGGTAGCACTCATGACATGACAATCACTCGGCAAGAGTTTGTTGATATGGTCCCAGATGGTTGCCGTGTTATTGCCGATGATGCCTTCACTGGGAAAACAGAGAGAGAGAAGAGCATCTTTGCTGTAAGCAACAATCTTGATGCCCCAGCAGTGAAGGAGTTCAAAGGCAGGGCCAAAGCTAGACAGGAAACAATCAACAAAAGGCTCAAGGACTATGAAAGCATGAGCAAGCCATTCATTTACGGCATTGAGAAAGCAAAGCTCTGCTTTGCTGCCGTGATCACTCTCATTCAGTATTCTATTGAGGACACTAGTAAGTTTGGAGAGCCCCTATACTGTCTTTGAACTATTTTCCTTCCAACTGCACTAATTATTAGATTACGTAACTACTCTTAATTGAACCAAACTATCCACTTCAAAGATCCTTATCGTCATCATTGCTCTTGCCGTTCTCTCCCTCGGGGATGTCCACATCTTCAAAACGATCAAGATTGTCTTCGGGAGCATCTCGCGAGCCAATGGGGTGCTTCTTGCTTGGTGTGTCGACGTCCATGTCATTCGTTGTGTTGTCGTTCTCCTCTTCTTCACGGTCAAGGTACCCGTTAATATCAGCAGCGTTCTGGGTTAAAAGTGTATTCAAATCGGCTTCGTTTTCAGCCACGAAGCCATTCAAATCACTCAGCATCTGATTAAACCAAGTTGTGTCTTGGCCGTCATCAGCGGCCTCTTTCAACTGCCCACGAAGGATATGGTCGGCTAGCTCGAATTGAGCTTTCTTCTTCCTCTCCGGGTCACCCATCAGCCGCTGGATCTGCCTCTCATTATCTGCAGCTTTCTCCTCTGGAGAGGGGCTATCTTTGTCATAATCAAAGTACATTTCTTCGTCGTCTTCTTCTTCATCATCCAATCCAGTTGTTTTGAGGCCTGCGGTTGGCGTCTTTAGAGAAAAAGCTGCCTCAGCATTGGTGCCATTGCTTACTGCTGCAGCTGTAGGCGTCTTGATCATAGGCAAGCCACCCCGAAAGCTGGAAGCATTGGCCATCTCAGCAGCGGGTGGAGTCTTGAGAGAAAAGGCTGCCTTAGCATTGGTGCCGCTGCTTGCTGCTGCAGCTGTAGGCGTTTTGATCATAGGCAAGAAGCCACCCCCAATGCTGGGCGCATTGGCTGCCTCAGCAGCGGGTGGAGTCTTGATTTTGTGGGAGGCAATGGAAGTTGTGATTTGTTCATTGATGGTGGGAATTGTAATCGAAAGGCTACTAGCATTGGAACCGGCGGCTTGTTCAGTGATGGTGGGAATCGAAATCGAAAGACTATTGCTGTTGTTCGTGGCAACTATTTCCATGGGAGCTGCTCCGTTGGCAATAGCAATGGTTGCTGCTTCTACAATGATAGACAAAAGATGAAACAAACAGTTTCTTTAAGAGTAAATCCATTACAAGCTAAGCCAAGGCGGAAGCCAATGTCTAAGGACCACCTTCCTTCTTGATCTTCTTACTCTTTTTCATCATTTCCACCATCAAATTCTTGCCAGTGATGTTGGTCGTCTTTTCCAAGCCGACCTCAGCAAGAGTGCCTTTGACAAAAGCCCTCCAAATGACAATGACTTCCGTGTTCGTCTCGGTGGTACCATCGCAATTGTCTTTTGTGAAGTCGTATGGGACAGGCAGCATTGTGAGCTCACCATCCATGCCGCCACCGTTGAAGTGCTCATTGCTCAAGACCAGATTGAGGTGATCAAAAGCAATTGTTGTGTCCTTTGTAGGAAGCTTCTTAACGAGTGACGTGACAATGCCTTCGAAGGTCTCACACAACTTTGTCGAGTGGAACTCGTCTTTATTGGCCTTGAGGAGGCCAATCCATTGGGGAGCAGCACGGAGCCATCCTGTGGTCTTGGACGGACCTGTAATCACAATGCTTTGGTTAGCATTCTTGCCGTTTGTGACAATCTTTGCCTTCAAATGTTCGATCTCCTCAGGATGGGTTCCAGGACGGGCGATCACAATGGCCATTGCTTTCTTCGTTCCAATCCTTTCATCATTGGTAATGTCCACAATAAAGTCACCGTGTGCTGCAGCATTGTTGAGATTCGCAGGGAAGCACTCATCGCCATCATCTGTAAGAAGGCAGCGAATGAGTTGCAACATAATGAGTTAATAGATGGATGCATGCAATGATAACATGATGTGAGCAACAACGGAGTATTCGCTCACTCTTGTTGGCTTCTCCTTTCATGCGAAGGAATTTTAGGGGGCTTGCAATGTTTGTAGACGCCATTTTTGCTGAAAGATCTTCGATAGAGGACTGTTGAAGTCGTTGAGCTCAAAGTTGTTTCCGTTCAAGTTGGGGAGGGGACACCACGGGGATATAAGTCGCTGGTGGAATCGATGGAATGGTTTCACTTCTAGCAGCCAAGGTTGGAGCTGAGTTGTCTTCTTGCTCTTTGTCTACCTGAATAAGGGATTCAAGAGGCACGGAGTAGTAAGGAGATTTGGCAATCCTTTGGCGTGTCTTTTCAAAGTCATCCGCACTCGATCGCTTCCATCGGTCAACTAGCCAGCGAACTCTGAAATGAAGATGAGATCGCTCGACTCCAAGATCCATGGGATAACGAGCACAAAGACCGGCAAGAGCTTGGTTGTCGTGTGACACTAATTTCGGGCCACCAAGAGGATCAAGGAGCCGTAAGAGGAGCGCCTTTTTGGGCATTGGGAGCCCCTCTTTGGGAAGATCCCAGTCGCATGCGTAGGGCGATTCCTCGACACTGAAATCGGGAGATTGTTTCTTTCTTTTTGATTGCTTGGTTGCACTCACCTTTTTTGGGTTCACTCGGCTTGGTGGAAGGCTTGGATTGTTGTGGTTCGGAATATGGATCGTCTTGAGCTGAATCAAAAAGATCGTCTCCCAAGTCTTGTCCTATCGAGGCCTTTGTTGATCGGATTCGAAGTTGCATTGTGAGCACGAGTGACAACCAAGCAATCAATAAAAAATGAAAGGATAATTGCTCTGTTTGAACCAAATCAGTTTATCATGAAAATTCCAATGCCTGGACCTAATTGTTTGAAAAAGATCGTTTCAGCCTCGATATCCTCTTAGGAAATTGCTTGGCAACAGAAGCAACAGAAAGCAACCGAATCCAACAGCAGGGTTGATTGTCAAGTTCCACATCCTAGCATGCCACCGAAAATGAGAGCAGCCGCCAAGAAAGGTAAAGGCAAGGATCCTCCTCCTCCCACGCGTCCTCCTTGCACGCTCAATGGCGCTGATTGGGGAGCAAGCGACGCAAAACACCGAATCGTACAAGATCTTCTTGATGGCATCATCCCACATGACAAAAAACTCGATATCGAAGACGTCTTCAACAAGATGTACAAAGGCCGTCCCGAGTTTGCCGATTTTCCTTGGGACTTTGAAAGGTACAAGGACCGCATTGAGCGCCTTCAAAAGGCAGTAACCAGACTCAAATGGTCCCGAGATTATGATGAGGAATGTCTTGTTGAAGCCAGAGCCAAATATCCAAGACGGACCGAGTACCCAAATGGTAAAAAGATTTGGTGGCCCGGATGCCCCGCCGACAAGGCTCTTGAAACTGACATGGCAGCTGGACTGCATAAGGAGAAGACACCCAAGGAGATGAGGGAGGGCAATCCCCTCTATCAAGAGTTCCCACAGCGTGTCTTGAGCAAGAAGATCGATCAAAAGAGGGAAGCAGTGAAGCCGTACGGAAAGAATCCAATGCAGGTGGCCGATGAAAAAGCTCAAGAGAAGGCCGCCGGGAAGTCAAAGAAGAAGAAGAATGGCGCCAAGGTCAAGAACCGTCCAGAGCTCAGCCGTGTGGGCCAAGTAGAGGCCTACAAGAGTAGTAAGTAATGCAATAGTAGCGTTAACAGCGTCCAAAGCAATGGCTTTTCGTCATCTTGATAGTGCTGAAATCGTGAGTTGAAATCGCGAGTTGAAATCGCGAGTTGAAATCGCGAGTTGAACGAGTCAGTGTGCGACAATCACGAGTCACCGCGAGTTGAATCGCAAGTCACCGCGAGCTGTGTTTTAGGGCGCGAGTTAAATCGCGAGTTGAACGAGTTCATGTGCGACATTAGTAAATTTTAGCGATTTGAACGGTTGAACCCAGTGTAAAGCCACGTAATCGGGGGACTTCCCGATCCAGCCCTCTTCCCCTAAATATGAATCTAGCTAGTAGCTGGTTCGTCATTTGTTTACGCGCGACGGTTCCCTCTCACCCATCGTCCACGTGCTTTCTTCATAAATTTCCACGCTGACTTCCGGGAAAGTGCATTGCTTTGCCGCAGTGTCGAGAAGCTGTCGTTTCCAAACTGAAGCGGCAACTTGTTTGCAACTGGTAAGAGTGGAAGGCAGAGGAAACAGTTTAATTTCGGATGAACTATGGCGCTACCGGTAAGCAGGCGAGAATGCTCGGTCGAGAGGGCAATACTAGTACTTACTTGCTTGCTAGGTACCAGCACAGTAGGAAAGAGGCAGCAAACAATGCACGGCTTGACACAGTGGGTGTTTCTATCTAGAAGTAGAGTTATTGGGTAACATTTATGCATACCGGTACGGCGCAGTAGCTCGTTTCCTTGGTGTCGAGGCAAGCTGCCACGCACACTCTTGCATGGTTTTGAAAATAGATAATCTGTCTGCCTTCCGCTAGGGCGCCTCCATCATCTTGATCATTTTCGCCACCTTCTTGTATCTCGCGTACTCTTTTTGTTTTGGTTTAATGTCCGAAGGCGTGGACACTTGACGCCCATGAGTCTTGACGAAATCCTTCTCAAACACTCGCAGCGAGGAACGCAACAAGAACAACTCTGCCTTGAGTTGCGAAAGGTCGTCCAGTTCGGCCAAAATGTCATACCGTCGCCGCTGCGGAACATTCGTTCCTGGAACGTACGAGGACCCGCTACTGACGACGACCACCCAACTTCCATCCAAGCCGCCACATTTGTCCAATGCTGCAATTCGTTTCTTTGTCGCATGGTAGTACTCGTAGTAAGGTCGTATCCGTTCCTTTTCAGGTTTTCGAGGTTTGCGACGGTGCTGTTCGTAGAACCACCTATCGTATTCTATTAGCAACGACTTTATCTCTTCCTTCTTGGAAATTAGCTTGGCAAGGCTCATGGATTCAACATCA